GTCAAATGTGTTGCTGATTGGTCAATGAACAAATCACTGATTGGTCAGTGGCCAGGCAGGAAGTATAGGCGGGACTAACAGAGAGGAGAATAGAGAGAACAGGAAGCTGGGTGAGAGAGACACTGCCAGCTGCCATGATGACAAACAGCATGAGAAGATGCCGGTAAGCCACAAGCCATGTGGCAAGGTATAGATTTATAGAAATGGATTAATTTAAGCTGTAAGAACAGTTAGCAAGAAGCCTGCCACGGCCATACAGTTTGTAACCAATATAAGTCTCTGTGTTTACTTGGTCGGGTCTGAGTGGCCATGGGACTGGTGGGTGACAGAGATTTGTCCTGACTGTGGGCCAGGCAGGAAAACTCTAGCTACAGCTCTCTACACTTTATCCAAACTTTGGTTAAACTGCATTAATCTAGTAACTCTTTTCTTCAGCTAGAAATCTGCAGAAATTTTTGTAAGCTAATACATTAAGTGTTAAAACTTTTAATTGGAGCTTCGTAGGGCAGCATTTATCAAATGCATTATGGTGCCAGGCTGTCCACACATTTCATTTCACTTAACCTTCACCATGGCCCACCCAGCTTTCCTGAACTCCAGGATCATGGAAGTAACTTGTCCAACATTGCATGGATTGAAAGTGGAAGACTGGGACTCATTTGCCTCTCAGCAAGGGGAGCGGGGTGAGGGATTCCCACAAAAGTGGAGAAAAAAAAAACAAATGGCAAATTAATGAAATCTTTGGGGGGCTATTTCAAAACAGTGTGGACAAAATTCATGTTCTGATAAAAGCTGTGACTGGCACATGAGATGAAAGTCCGAACTGCCTCTTGCTGTCTTAAAGTTTACAAAGGTTAACATGGAAGCATCCCTCGGGCTTGCTAAGGCCCTGACCAGGGTGCTTCCTAGGCTGTTTCCTTTCCAGGCCTTGTGTGGCTCAGTTGGGAATAGTGAGGGAGGGGAGATGCTTGGCCAGTAAAGGGAGCTTTCTCCAAGCTTGGGTTTGATCCCTGGAACTCACAGGGTGTGAAGAACCGACTTCTGCAAGTTGTCCTCTGCTGCCCACATGCCGGCCATGGCTTGTACTTGTCCATACACAATAACACACACGCACACACACACACACTAAAACAAATGTAAAAATAAAGAGATGTGACTCCGAGGATCAGCACTCCCCTCGGTCCTCTACACTACAGTTTGGCCCTCCCTGTCACTGTGTTCTGTTTTTAGCATGGTGTGCCCTTGGCCCAAGGGCTCTCACAAACCCACTAATCCAGCAAGCTAAAACACTGGTGGCATCACTATCCTCATTTCTAAATACCACCCCTGATTTCCTAGACTTCCAACCAGCTCCTCCGAGGCATCTGTTCGCCCACTCTGCCCTATCTCATCAAAGCCCCTGTGCACCAAGGCCTTCAAAGACCTGATGGCGCAAGGACGCATTGTGAAGTGGCGGGAGCGTCACAGGCCACGTGGATCCCAGGACCTGAAAGTGGGGTGGGTGTCCTCAGTGGCCCCCTGGAGGTCCCCCCCCCCCGACCTTCGTGTAGACTCTGGGCCCGCCGGGAAGAGAGCATGGCCGGCTTCCACCTCTTCTCCCCACGGTCCTATGGGGAGCTTGGGGAGCCCTCGCCCGGTAGAAAGCGGGAGTTCGCGGCACGGCTGGGCTGGCCTGAGCCATCCGTGAGTTCCTGGGCCCGGACTCCCGGCGCTGAGACCGAGACCGAGACCCGGGTGCCCGGGATACACCAGAAATGTTCGCCCACAGGGCGGCCCCGCCGGCGTGGGTATATCGCCTTTCCACGAGAAAGCCACAGTTTGACACACGTGGCCCGGAGACCCTCGGACCGCGCCAGGAAGCACAGGTCCGGCAGCCGGCGCCTGGAAGAAGCCTGCGGCGAGGCACCGACCAAGTCCGGCAGCACCTGGCAGCAGCTGCAGCAGCCGGATCAGCCCTACCCGAGCTACTCTGAAGGCCCAGGAGATTCGTCCCCGCCATACCCCGGGGGAGCTTTCAGCCCCCAGAGTGCTGGGACTTTGCTTTTAGAAAAGACACACAACAGAGACCGGTGGGCAGTGCCGGTGTGCAGACCTGTAGATCTCTGGTCCCCTTCCTCGGTTCTCACGGACAAGTCCTCGGTGCACTCCCCAGAGTTCGAGAAGCAACCCGCTTGTGTGTGCACCCAGAAGAGGGGTAGTGGTGACCGGACTGAGTCCTTCGCCAACCAGTACTCCCAGCCCTCCGCCTCCTGCAAAGAGACGAGTAGCCAGCACGCTCAGGTCCTCAAGAGCAAGCTGGACGAAGCGGTGATATCCTCCAGGGACCAGAAGATCGTGGCCCTGGTGCTGAGCCGGCTGAAGAAGGCCCAGAAGATGCGAGAGCTGCAGCAACAGGCCGCAGTCGCCTGGGAGGAGCTGAAGCGCTCAGACCAGAAAGTCCACCTGACTCTGGAGAGAGAGCGCAGGCTGCTGCTGCAGCAGAGCCAGGAGCAGTGGCAAGGACTGAAGGAACCGCACAAGCCACGGAGGGGCCATGAGCCGCTTCACCAGGGCCGGGAGCAGCCGGGCCCGCGGCGTGACCATCAGGCGAAGAGCACCATCCCGTCGGAGAGCGAGAGTGGGTGGCGGGTGCAACCTGACAACCCGGAGAACCACCGAGGCCTGGACAAGCTAGACAGGGTGCAAACACAAGCTGAGCACCTCAAACAGTGTCAAGTGCAGCGTCTGCGGGAGCAGGAGAGGGTGCTGCAGAATCTGCGGGACCTGAACCGGCTGCAGCTGCGGAAGAGGCTGGAGGCGGCCTGTCATAAGAGGCAGCAGCACCAGGCGGAGAGCCATAAGAAGGTTCAGGAAAGCAACCTGAGCTCACTCGTCAACTACCAGGCACGCAAGGTTCTCATGGACTGCCAGGCCAAGGCGGAGGAACTCCTCAGGAAGCTGTCGCTGGAGCAGAGTTCCCAGCGTCCCCAGGACATCCAAGAAAGTCTGGTTAAGGAGAGGCACCGAGAGCAGCAGGGGAAGGCAAAAAGGGAGGTAGAGCAGCTCCAGCGAGTGAGGTGGCGTGCGGAGGAGGCAGAGGAGCAGCGCCAGGTGAGCAAGCGGATCCTGGCCGAGCTGGCTGAGCAGAAGATCAGGCAGGCCAGGGGTCACACGCACAAAACCACCAGCGACAGGGCGCAGCACCTGGAGGAGCTGAACATCCTGCGTGAAAAGAACCATCAGATCTTGAAGTTGAAAGCAGAGAAGGAGGAAAAGAGTCACATTGAGGGCATCAAGGAAGCCATCAAGAAGAAGGAACAAAGGGTCCAGCAGATGACCAGAGGGAAAGACCCCATCTTCCAGGAGTTCCAGAAGGTTTCCCCAGCCTCCAAGGCAGACCGCTGCTTTGACCACGTGGCAGCAGAGGCCCCGCTGCCCATGCACCAGCAGAGTGGAAACTACTGAGAACCCAGGAGGAAGACGGCAACAGCCCAGCAGCCAGACAGAGATGTCATCCTGCGATTCCGCTTTATAATCTGATTTTAACCGTGCATTGATTTTTAAAAAATATATAAAATAGCTGCAATTTCCTCCCATGAATTAGTTCATTGATTCACTTGGGTGGTATAGATGGGGTTGGGGAGAGAAAATGGGGGAGGGGGGCAGGTGTGAAAATTGCTTGGCTTTTGAGTTTTGAGGTGAAACAGAAAACATTCATTTGCCTTTCAAGGAATCTAGAAGCACACATGAGGCTGGAGTTAGAGGAGCCAAAAAAGAATGTACAATTGGCCGTGGCGCACGCCTTTAATCCCAGCACTCGGGAGGCAGAGGCAGGCGGGTCTCTGTGAGTTCGAGGCCAGCCTGGACTACAGAGTGAGCTCCAGGACAGCCAGGGCTACACAAAGAAACCCTGTCTCAAAATACATATACATACATATACATACATACATACATACATACATACATACATACATACATACATACATACATACAATGTACAAATATGACTTGGTAAAATTTTGTCCTAATCTACAGCTTTAGAAAGATAAAATGTGGAGGGTGAGAGGCCTGAGGAGTCTCCAGCGTAAAAAGCAAAGGTGGTCTAGGAGATTTTCTAAGCAACTAGATTTGGGAATCTTGTATATTCTAATTCTTTCTGAAGACTCAGTGGTGCACTTTTAAGCTTGAAAGCCTACAGTATAGAAATTCTTTTAACCTAGTGTTAGTTGCAAACCACGATTCTCTCTCTCTCTCTCTCTCTCTCTTGCTTTTCTCAGATCATTCCACGGAATTGATGTTCTGTGATGAAATGAATGTGGTTTGGTTTTTTGTTTTGTTTTGTTTTTTTGTCTGTCTGTGTGTGTGTGTGTGTTGTTTTGTTTTGTTTGGTAAATGGTTCCATAGTTCCTCCCAGACTGAGGAGTTCTTTGGACATCCCTACTCATGGCACTAAATGTCTATGATCCACCAGGACTGTGTCCCAACTGTCCCACCACAGGCATGGTATCTAAGAGCTCAGTGAAACCCAGCCAGCACACACCTGTAATACCAGCACTGTAGGCCAGCCTGGGCTGTGACATAGTAAGTTCCAGGACCAGCCTGGGCTACACAATGAGGCCTTGTCTCTAAGAGAAAAGAAATAAACCACTAGAATATATCTGGTCTTTCTTGGAGTAGGGGTGGAGGATGGGGGGAATGAGGGTAGGGGGTGGTGGTGGGGGTTGCTCCCATCCAGCCGTACGCATCCAGGTTCTATTGGCATCTTTCTCTTCCCCTCTATTTCTCTGTCTCTTTTGAAGGAGGCACGTGATGTCATTCTGTCTACCCACATTGTGCCTAATTAGCTTAACTAGGCTCTAAATGAGTGACTAAACATGACTCAGTAATAAGACTTTTTAAACATAAGGAGCCAGCAGCAATATAAATTAACCCATCCTGTCTCTCAGCTTCTACTGAAAAACCAATGTTTTCTTTAAAAAAAAAAACAAAAACAAAAACAACCAACCACCTTGATGTAAAGTTATTTTTGTTGTTGTTGTATGTATGTGGGGGAGGGTACACATCCCACAGTGTCCATGTGGGGATCAGAGGGCAACTTTACGTGGGTTCCAGGGATTTGGTTCAGGTTGTCAGGCTTGCATCACTGAGTAGCGACATCTTTACCGGCTGCATCATGTCATCAGCCCTATTGCAGGATCTGTATGAAACAAGGAAGGGAAAAGATAAGAGGGTAAGTGTCATCAGAGGACTTTTGTCTTATTAGTAACTGTGAAACAGCATCAGACATAACCAGACCAGTAATTTTGTACTGATGTCAATGTGACATCCATTCTGTTTTTATAATGGAAATCAAACCCTTGTCCCTATCCTGTTTTCTTCCTCGGTCCTAGGTCCCCCACACCTGCTGTCCTTAAATAGGCCTGCTATAGCACCTCGTTTCTGTACTCAGACATGCTCACAGAGACCCCTGTTCAAAAATGCAAGCACTCACAGATCAGGCCTCAGTTTCAATATTACTATGTTCATGTCCAAGTTAATCCCATGTTCTAGCCATGGCAGCAGGCTGTCTAGGTATTCTGTTTAATGCTTAAGATCTTTCAGATCAGCCTTGACATGAATCTGGGGTTTCCTGTTAGTCTGACTCTTTGTCTATAAAATCGGAAGTAACTCATTCTTCCCAGGCGTTGCTGTGAGGGATAATTAGATGAAAACATCTATGCAAGGTGTTTGGCAAGGTAACCCAGAATCTAATATTCTATAATTCAATACTGTGGCTCTTATTATTAATATTGACACCTGCCAGTGTCAACCCCACCCCTTTGAGTTTAACGCCTTCTCACCAGCTACTTCCTCCCACCATATCCCAACTGGTTCTCCCCGAGCACAGCAGCCATGCTCTGTAAGGAGTATCACTTTGAAATTTAATCTTGGTTTCCTAACCAGACTACATGCTACCCGAGGCCAGGGCCAGTGCCTTATACTTCTTTATGCTCTTGCTTAAGGTTGTAGTCAGTACAATGTCCAAGTAGAAGACATCAAGTGGATGTTTTCACTCCAAATCCTCTCCCGTGTTGTCCTTTGCTCCAAGAAATAAATGCAGACTCATTCCTTTGTCTAACCTTTCTGGAAACTACCACCAAAACAGTCTATACAAGCTAGAGCTGACAGAAGTGAAGGAGACTTTCCCATCTTTTAAGTACAGCTAAAACCCCTAAATGTTTTGTGTGAGACAACTCTACAAAGAGACAGACTGGCCCTAGACTTCAGGAGCCAATTAAACCCACACGGTCCTGAGTTCCTTGAGTTCTCATTTTGTCTCGTGTGTTCCAGATCTGTGAGTTGAAGAAATACTAAAATATGGACAGAAGTCCCAGCACAGCCTGGTGTCTCCAACCAAAGCCCCAGAACTACACAACTCGAGCTAAATTCCACGGGCAGACTACGGCTTCACCTTTGCCCATGCTGGCAAAGACTGAACAGGGAAATGGTGTGCTTCCCTTACCAGGTTGTGATAAGGAGGCACCTTCCCCTGTCTTAGTAATGCCGTCAGAAACTGCATAGCAGCTTAGGCCCCTAACTACTTACATCTCAACTTCCCGCGATGTGGTATCACAGGAAGCCTGGAAGAGAGTAAAAACTTTCATTAGCATCCAGCAAAAACAAGACTGCACATCTCATCCCTCACCCATCCACCTTGCTATGTGGGGAGCAAGGCGGACCTCCTGCTTCTCCTGGTCTGCCCCAGTATCAGTTGAAAGAGTGTAGAGGAGGCCCAAGGCTCCTGTCCCCTCCCAGAAATAAGGAGGAGTAGCTCTGCTCCCTTCGGTTGGCAATGGCTATGTGAGAAAGTGGATTTTTTACTCCTGCTCCTCAGTATGAGGCAATGGCGTGTTGTATTTCCTGGGGTGATATCAGAGAAAGTCAGATGCAAAGGACATTTTAAATAAGGTCCAATGAGTCTTTTAACGGAACAAGTTGTCTAGGTTTTTATTGAAAATCAATCTACAAAGGACCAAGACTATCTCAAACTGAATGAGAAAGAATTCATGTATGCCAAAAGAAATGTTGGAGTTATCCAAAACCCATTTATAAGCAGTTATAACAACAACAACAGCAACAAAAAAGCTTCCAAAAGTGATTTTGAGCACACTTAAAATCGGCAAGAAAATCTCAGCAAAGGCATAAAACGTATAGAGAAGAATCAAGTGAGAAAAACGTGAGTGGAAGGTGAGCTACACCAACCAAAACTCTCAGATGGCTCCATATGAGAAGGCTCTTTCTGTGCAAGCCTGGGGACCCGAGTTTGACCCCACAAAGTGGAAGAGAACCGATGTCACAAAGATCAAAAGATCAATGGCATGGCTTCATCAGCAGAACGAAAGGAGTGGAGGGAAGAAGCCGTGGCTGAGGCAGAGTAACAGAAAGCCAGCAACTCTGGGAATAAGAGAGATGTGAGTTTTGAAAATGAGAAGAGCCTCCTGCACTCGCAGAACTGTGACAGAAGAGTCAGCATTCATGGTCTGGGAGTCTCAGGAGGAATGCAAAAAAAGGGACCACCTTGGAAAAGCACTCAGGAAAATAATAGCCCCAAATATTTCAAAGTTAGTGAAGTTGTGCCAAACTAGGGAGATAGAGACAGGAGGATTTCAGGGTCTTGCCAGCCAGGCAGCATAGCCGAGTGACTGAGTTCCAGGTTCAGTGAGACACCCTGACTCATACAGAAGCTAAGAGTAATCCAAGAAGTACTCGGCATTAACCTCTGGCCTTTGTGCGTGTGCACATATAAGCACGTATGCACACATGCACCCTATACACACCCACAAGAAGTCCCCAACATCCAAGTTCTTGTTATCTACAAGAAACATATCCCACTGGCAAAGACACATCCAGACTGTGAGTGGAAGAATGGAAATTAGTACAGCAAATAATGGGAGCCAGGAACAAGCAAAAATAGCCACACTTAGCATTTAATGGAGCAGACTTCAAGCCAAAATTAGAAGAGATTAAAAAAAATAGTCACTACAGATTACTAATGGAAACCATCCATCAGAAAGATATAACAATTGTAAAGATGTATGAGCCAAATACCGGAGCATCAATTTCATAAAAAACACATTGCACATAAAGGTTCAGAAATATCCAGACACAAAATTGTGGGTAGTTCTAATACCCCATTCTCATCAACAGATAAGACATCCAGACTAAAAGACACCTCTGAAAGTGCCCCACAGATCAAATGGACAAGAGACACCCACAAAACACTTCTCATTCAATGTACCCAGCAGCCCATGGAATTAACTCTAAAATAATACTTTAGGTTATAAAGCAAAACATATGATACAAAAGCTAAAATTATTTCTTAGTCTTTTTACATCATCATGGAATCAAGGTGGTGATCAACAGAAACAGGAACTTAGAGGCACTGTGCAAACACATATAGAGTGAGCAATGTGCTCTTGATCTGTAAAGAGCGGCTTGATCTGTAACGAGCAGTAAGAGTGAAGGAGTGACAGTCTTCTAACAAAAGTTCAGGGTGTAAAGAGTCCCTGCTGAATTTCACCAGACCTTGTAAGAGTAGAGGCTCAAAGTATGTACTGAGTTAAGACTCAGTTGAGTAATAAGGCAAGAATCGTAAAATGGACACAAATAGGAAAGGATGATCAGATGATACGATCCTATAAGAACCCCAATGATCCCACCAGAAAAATCTTAGATCCGCTAAGCACATTTAACAAAGTAGCAGGATATAAAAATCAGGACTGGAGAGATGGGTCAGCCGTTAAAGGCTCACAACCAAAATCATAAAAATCAGCAGCTTTCCTGTATATAAATAATGAATTTACTGAGAAAGAAATCAAGAAAAAATACTGATTCACAACAAACTAAAAACAGTGGGAATAAAAAATATAACCAAGAATAAGAAAGACTCTACAATGAAAACACTGGAGAAAAAGTATTCTGGAAGGTGGAAAGATGAGAGATGGCAGTGTTTCTGAAAGTGAGCTACAGATTCACTGCAATCCACATCCAAATCCCAATAACATTCTTTAAAGAACTAGAAATACACCCTGAAGTTCATATGGAAGACCAAAAATAACTAAAGAAAAGTCATGCTGACTATCATCATATCTGATCTGAAATTTTACTACAGAGTCATAGTAACAAAAACAGTCGGGTAGACCAATGGAAGAGAAGACTTAGAAATTAACACATGAGCACAGTCATCTGCTTTTTAACAAATGTACCCAAGGTGTCGAGAAAATACCTCTTCAACAACTGGCAGGGGGGTGGGGGTGGGTACTGGATATGCACACATAGTACAATAAAATTAGAGCCCTACCTTTCACCCTGTACAAAGTTATTTCAAAATGGATCAAAGATCTTCACATAAGACTCAAAACTCTGAAACTTCTAGAGAAAACCACAAGTGATACAGTTCAAGATACAGGTGTAGGCAAGGACTTTTGTAAAGGGCTCCAATAGCTCAGAAAAGAATGGGAGAAGACAAACAGCACAGTAAGAAAATAAAACCACCAACAGAGTGAAATTTCCCAACAAAATGGGAAAATCTGACTATCTATACTGCTGATTGGTGAATAATATCAAGAATCTATAGAGAACTTTCTTAAAAACTCACCCATACCAGCCAGGCGGTGGTTCCACACGCCTTTAATCCCAGCACTCGGGAGGCAGAGCCAGGCGGATCTCTGTGAGTTCAAGGCCAGCCTGGTCTACAAAATGAGATCCAGGATAGGCACCAAAACTACACAGAGAAACCCTGTCTTGAAAAACAAAAACAAAAACAAAAAAAAAATCACCCATGCCAAAACTTCCAGCCCATAAATGAACAGTGAATGGCTCTCAAAAGGAGAGATATAAATGGCCAGTAAATCTGTAAAAAAAAAAATGTTCAATATCCTCAGTCATCAGGAATTAAGTAAGAAGTTGAAAATACACCGGAGGTGGGTCTCATCCCACTCATACCAGTTGTCATCAACCAATCCCATGACGGAATGTTGTCAGGCCCAACCTTGCACAATTCTTGTACTGATAACACAATGTCTGCAAGCTCACAGGTGCACTAGCCTTGTCATGCCCAGAAGACAGCCTTTCACAGGGCTCCTGCCCTGCTCTGGCTCTTCCCGCCTCCTCTTCCATAACATTCCCTGACCCTTGGAGGGAATGGCATGGATGTTTCCTTTAGGGCTGGGCACTCAACAGTCATGCGACTGTTCTCGGCACTTGGACCATTTATAAGTTTCTGCACTGCCCACTGCCCACTGCAGAAAGAGGCTCCTGTATGAAGGCTGAAATCAAAATCAATCTATAGGCATAAACATAAAAATTTAGAAGACAGTTTAATAACGCATCCATACAGCAAAACAGTTTTCCCCTTAGCATCTATAATCTCACTAGTTATGGGCTTTTAACTAGACTTATGTGGCAAGGCATGACTTCTCCACTGCGGAACCGGTCTAAAATCTAATCAGAAAGCAGTTCCTTACTCCCATGTCTTAGTTCTCTATTGCTATGACAGAACACATGACGAAGAGAAACTTAGGAAGGAAAAGATTTATTTCATTTTACACGTTCACATTTCAGTCCATCATTGAAGGAAGTCAGGACAGAAGAAATCAAGGCAGGAACCTCAAGTCAGGAGCTGAAGCAGGAGTCATGGAGGAGTGCTGCTTACTGGCTTGCTCCTCATGGCTTTCTCAGTCTGCTTTCTTATACCATTCAGGATGACAGGCCCAGAGGCAGCACCTTCCCCAGTGGGCTGGTGCTGTGGGATGTCTTTCTGTGAGCTGTGAATATGTGCTGCTCTGATTGTTTGATAAATAAAGCTGTTTGGCCAATGGCAAGGCAGAATAAAATTAGGAGGTGCATTCAAACTGAAGAGACAGAGGAAGAGAAGGGTGAGGGGAGCCGCTGCGAGCCGCCGCCAGGAGAAACAAGATGTGAAGGTACAAGTAAGCCACGGAGCCACGTGACAATGCACTGATTAATAGAAATGGGCTGAGTTTTTGTAAGAGCTAGCTAGTGAGAAGACTGAGCCATTAGGCCATACAGTTTGTAATTAATATGAGCCTCTGTGTGTTTACTCGGGACCGAGCGGCTGTGGGACCAGGTGGGATACAGGAAAACTTCCAGCTACATTTGGCACCCAAACACAGCAACAAGAATTTCCACCCCAAACCTGAGAAACCTTTAAAAAAAGATTCTAAAATGGAGCTAAAAACAGCTTCCTAGTTGTGTCTCTCAGGCAAGCTGTGATACAGAGATGCCGCCTTGAGCACGCAGGCTTGACCTACAGCATGGCAGATTACCGCTGCAGTACACAGAGGTGACTCTAAGCTGTGCCATGCACTGCATGGTGGATTTAGCTTTTGCTAGTACAGGCAAAAAAAAAAAAAAAAGTTTTTTGGGCTGGGCTACACGCTACTGGATGGAGGCATAGGCCCACTGCTTCCCAGAGTCAGCAGAGAGCATGGCTCCCAGAGCTGGTGGTAAATGTACTTCCACCATGTTGGGAAGCTGGGGTCGGGGGGAGTGGAGTCAATAGCCAATGTCGCCACAAAGCTTAACAATTTAAAATCTCTCCTGGTCAGAGAAGGATTATAGATTCACAATAAGACAGATTCAGATGAAATAAAACTCTAAACAGTTTACAGTGTGTGTAAAATGTACATAGGCTTAGAAGAGAGAGGAAAAAGAGCATAGGCAGTTATATAATGAAGTAGTTTTAAAAAATAAAGTCTTTAAAGAGACAGTAAAAGTAATATAAAAGTTAAGCCATGTAAAGATGAAAATTACACAGAATCTGGATTGTGTTGTCTTTGGGATTTTTAACTGGAGAGACATTTGATTGTAAAGTCTGCTGAGTTAAACAAATATATATATTTTAAAGGTACCTTGACTTCAAGATTTGGGTCTAAGGATATGTTACTTTGGAAAGGAGGCTCTGCTTTTGTTTCCACAGGAAGCAAGAGGCAGTGGATTTGTTCCAAGTTAAGATAGATCAGATTTGATCAAGTGAGACCTCCTGAACCTTGACAGATGGTATCTACCTATCAACAAAGGTTATAGCCAGTTTTCCCAGGACTTGACCATTATCTCAAATTTTCTCAGGTTCTTCATAAAATTGCCAGCACCCCATTCAGCAGGAAGTAGTATGAAAAACTACGCCCAAGTTCCCAAAATATTGTTTATAAATATTTATTTTTATTTGAAGGGGGTTGATTATAAATGCAATTTCTTTCTAAAGAAGAAAAGGGGATATAGATACATTAGGATGAAAGGGTAGATTATTGAATCTACTTTTAAAGAGCAACAATTTATTTGAAATGTTTTACATTGCTATGGATTTTCGTTTATTGATACAAATTTAAAGTTATTTTGCTATTATATATATATATTTCTACTCTTGTTTAAGGTATTATGTTTATGTAACTTATTTAAAATTGTAATATATAATTAAAAATACAGAATAATTACTCATCTATGATAATCAAACTTATAGTCATGTTAGTTAAGGTTTCTAGATATACATAGATGTATTTCAATTAGGTAGATAATCTTCAAACACTTCAAAGACCTATAGACTATGGCACTGAAAATGTTTTGAAAACAGACTTTTCTGGACAATGAGACATGTCTGCTCTACAGAGTTGCCCACAGGTAATCTGACAGAGGCATTTTCTCAGTTGAGGTTCTTCTTCTCAGATGACTCTAACTTGTGACAAGATGACAAAACTAGCCAGGACACCCCATAACAGTCCTGCCACTCTTGTACCAGTGGACACATCTTTGCCTAGCAGGTATTGTAGCACTCAAGGTTCAGAGCTGGGTAAGACAACTGATGACTTTCTCCCTCAGCAGCCTGCATAGTACCAAGCACCATGAAAGCTAGCCAACACTGAGAGAGCTTCCAGTTCTGCTCTAGCTTAACATCTCTATATGCTGGATCCAGGGAGTGTGGTGTCTTCAGCAACAGAGTCTTACCATATAGTTCCAGTGGGTAACCAAGAGCAGTGGCAATAGCCTGTACTGTTTTGGGGGGTATCAGGAGCCCTTCTGAACAACAACTCATAAGGAGGTATCCCATGCCTAGAATTTCATTTAATGAACTATTACTTCTGGGGGCAACATTCAGGTCTAGCTTTAAACACACACAAACAAAGCTACTCTGCAGCTGACATTATACCAACAGTGGATGCCTTAATGCTTACCCCAAACCAGACACAAGGCAAAGATGTCCATTTTCACCACTCTTAAGCAGCACAGTGCTGAAAGGGAAAAAATGAAAATTAGAGGCATATAAATAGATGGGAAGAAGAAATAAGTCTACCCCTCATTTGACAGAAATCTGGTCATTTATGAAAGTCTACATAAATGTTCAAGTACTAGGAAGTCACCATGTTAGGATAAAGATTGATGTACAAAGATTGGCAGTAGTTCTACATAAACCAATGAAATGCACATCACTGAAATTTACAATACAGTGTTGTTTACAACTATCTAAAAATGAGAAATACCCAGAAGTAAACATTAACTGTCAGAACATAGTCCAAGAATGGAGCCATGTGAAGGTATTCTGAGAGCTTGTGTGAAAACTCCAAGAAAACAAGACAAAAGTCTTGTGATTTCTGTTCCTTCTAAACATGGGTTTGTTCTTACAATGTGCTTTTGTGACCCTTCCAGGTACAGTCAATAGAAGTGGGTTTACTTCAGATTGCCCATTATCTTACTTTTATTATTCAAAAAAAAAATGTTTCTAAGCATGTCGGTGCTTGAGTTTGTCTGCAGCTTGAAGTCATATGAACTTTGTACCTGTGACTTTGCTCATCCCTCAGAATATAAATTGTCTGATGCTCCAAATAAAGTTGGCTACTGCATGAGACTTTAGACTGCCTCGTTTTTAGACCCCACTCTCCCAGGTCCATGCTGACGTGACATAACAAAACACATATAAAACTTGTTTGCTGAACGTTATGAAAAGTTGATGAAATAAATCATAGAAGTAAGTACACGATGAGACCTTATCAAAAGGCTCAATACAGCTATGCCTTGTTTGCATTTCCTGTTGCTGTGATAAAACACTCTGACAAAATCAACTTAGGGGCATTAGGGGTTTGTTTTAGCTCACAGTTCTGGGCTGCAGTCTATCACCGTAGGGAAGCAAGGTAGCAGAAACTTGAAGAGGTGAGGTATATTAGATCCACAACCGAGAGAAGAGAACTAATGCATGTATGCTTAAGCTCAGCTCACTTTCTCTGCTCTTACATACTTCAAGATCCCTTGTCCAAGTAATGGTGCCACACACAGTCTTCCTACCTCAATTACTGTAATCAAGACAATCCCTCATAGACATGCCAACAAGCAATCTGATCTAGACAATCTCCTTGAGACTGTCTTCTGAGCTGATTCTAGATGATGTCAGTTTGACAATTAGAACTAACCATCACTCAATGTCAGTTCTCCATGAAAGTAATATACAGATTTACTGAAATTCTTGTCACAATCCCAACAAGATTTTTTGTAGGTATAGATAAGATAATTCTAAAATTATCAAGTTGGTGCAGATCAGAAACATCCTCTCTACTGCCTACCTTTCATAGTACTGGAAGATGCTGTGTAGGCTGCTGGAGGGAAAGTGATCAACAGTCTTACCCAGTTATGTACCCTGTGAACTGCAAATAATGACTGGTATGATAAGATATGTTCATGGGTGTAATAGTGGTGCCAATGTTATAGGGGGTAGGGTAACCAATTGCTTTCTGATTAGATTTAAGGCCTGATCCACAGGAGAAAACACATCGGTGCTGTGAATCTGGCCAACAGCACATGGCTGGGGAGCTCATAGGTGAACTACTATTATTTTGCTAATGCACATAGTATTAGTTTGTCTTCTAAATTCATATCACTCTATTCATAGATTAGTGCAGCCCTCAGACCTCATCAGAAAAGCATCCTTTGTGGAGTAGGGTAGATGGTAGCTAACGTAGAAACTCACAACTGGTCAAAATAAAGAGAAGAAATATCGGTGGAGGGCTCAACTGCAAATGTTGCATCTGTCTCATTCCCCCTTCCCAAGACTCGTGGACCATAGTGTAAAAGGGAATCAGAAAGATTCTAAGAGTCAGAGGTCCAGAGCAGAACAGTGTCTTCTGGATGGGACAGGACTGCTGCATTCATGAATTCACAGCCACTGTGCCTGTAATCTGCACAAGATCAAGCCAGTCAACATTCTAGCATGGCATGGGAAGGGGTTTATGAGTCCTTGACCCTTAGTGAGGAACAATGGAAAGTTGATGGCTTCTCAGGGAGAGAGTCAGTTTTCTTTAAGGGTGTGGCTTCTAGTACACTGACCATGATCCAGTGGATGGCACCACACTTAGGAATATTTGGGCAGCACAAACTGCAGTAAATGGTTAATAAGAAGAAGACATAAAACTGGGGTCAGTTGGAGGTGGGGTGTATCGGGAAGGAATTAGGGGGAAAATGGGAGTGAATATGATCAAATACATTATATATGAAATTCTGAAAGAATTTATTTTAAAAAACACTTCAAAAGAAGCCACAGTAAGATCATATAATTTGTCAAACAAATTTGTAACTAAAATAAGACACAGTGGCAGCATCAAATACTGGCAAAGAAGCAGAGACACGGGCCACTCACACGTTGCTGGTGGGAATGTAAAATGAGTGAATCACTCTGAAGGTAAAGTGGCATTTTCTTCAAAAACCAAGAATGCAACCACCACACTATGCTCCCCAGCAACACCACCTCACCATGCTCCCCAGGAACACCACCTCACCATGCTCCCCAGGAACACCACCTCACCATGCTCCCCAGGAACACCACCTCACCATGCTCCCCAGGAACACCACCTCACCATGCTCCCCAGCAACACCACCTCACCATGCTCCCCAGGAACACCACCTCACCATGCTCCCCAGGAACACCACCTCACCATGCTCCCCAGGAACACCACCTCACCATGCTCCCCAGGAACACCACCTCACCATGCTCCCCAGGAACACCACCTCACCATGCTCTCCAGCCACTGCACGGTAGAACAGTTGTCAGAAGGAAAGCTCTGTATGCATCTGAAAGCCTCTAGAGGAATATTTGTAATAACTTCAATTGCAATAGCCCCAAACATATCAACCCAGCTCTTTTCCAGTTGCTGGTTAAATGGATTGTGGTAGGACCAAAAAGGGCTTGCCAGACCTCATCAATGAAAAGTAGCCAACGATTGCTACACACAACAAGATGGATGAGTCTGAAAGAACCATGCTGAGTGAAAAAAGCCAGTCTGTAGGGGCTACACAGTATGTGGTGCCACTGAAGGAGCATAGCTGAAGTGACAGGACTTCAGAAATGGAGACACAATTAGGAGTTCCCAGGACCTAGATGGGATAGAGACAGGGAGACACACAGGTAGCATGAAAACTTGCCGGTATTCTACATGTGATTTGTACCATGTAGAAGAAGTTAACATGGGGGACTGTAGAACATGTTCAAGAGCTCACCGAAGTATTCCTGAAGACACAGATGAAGATCTGGAGCGATGGTTCAGCAGAAGAGAGTGATCCCTGTTCTCCTAGAGGATCCAAGTTTAGTTCTCAGCACCACACCTAGTGCTTACAACCTGGTGCAACTCCGTCTCCAGGGCCTCCAGGGCCTCCAGGGTCTTTGGCTCCCTCTTCTGGGTCCCATGGGCACCTGTATGCTCAGGATTGCATGAGTGCATACACAAGCATGTGTGCACACACGTGAACACACATATGCATACATTTAAAAAATCTATGAAACTGAAATGATCTCAAAATAATAATTAAAGGAATAAAATAAAACTGAAATTCCCATGCTTTGCATGTTGTGGGGAGGACCTTAATTGCCAAAAAAAAAGAAAAAGAAAAGAACTAGACTTGGAATAATGTTTATCAACACAAAAAAGCCATGCCTTGCTAAGACCTCAAACAATAGCCTTTGCTATTGACTAAAATGGAATAATGGAATCTAAGCTTCTTAATAATATTTAGATCAGTGGAATGTGACCCAGGAAAAGTGAGTTTGGTGAAAATAATTGTTACCAAGTAAAGTCCCCAATAACAGAGTCTGTAATCGGTCATGTTGACTATTGCCCAAAGCCCTAATCAATAAATGCAATTGATCTCAACATAAGGAATCCTTTGTTAATTAAATGCAAAAAAAACAAAAACAAACAAACAAAAAAAAGCCAGAAACATTTGCAAGCACTCATCCATCTTGTAACTTGGTCATTTAGAAAGCTGATAGCAAAATTGAATTGGCTTAAATGAGTTGTGTTGAGAAAAAAAAAATCTCAATTAAAATGTAGTAACCTTGTTTTTGAGACTTAAACATTTGCAGGTAAGTTTATATCAGATTCAAATGAGTGGGGTTGGTGTATCCTACCCTCTAATAGCCAAATCTTATCCAAGGCTTGGCATGTTCCGGCATTTACCTGTTTATCTGTCTTGCTTTTCTATGGCACATGCATTATGGTCTTTCATAGCTAAGGGACAGCAGCATAGCAGTGAGGTTGGACAGAACTTTTTTGTTATTTCCTTAAGTAGTAGAGATGGGATTTGAACCCAGTTCTTTTGAACCCTGCATCCATTTTTGCATCTTGCTTAGCCTTTTTAGCAACTTAATCGTTAGGATACTGGTTCTGAAACCAAACTGCCCGTGGTCAAAGTGAAGCTTTAGCCCCGAACCCAGTGAGTGATCTTGGGCAAGGTTCTTAACCCAGCTGGGAGGAGCAATCTGCTGCGGGATGATCTGTATGGCAAGTGTGTTGCTCTGATTGGTCAATAAATAAATCACTGATTGGCCAGTGGCCAGGCAGGAAGTATAGGCGGGACAAGGAGGAGAATAAAGCTGGGAAGTGGAAGGCTGAGTCAGAGACACTGCCAGCCACCATGATGACAAACAGCATGTGAAGATGCCGGTAAGCCACGAGCCATGTGGCAAGGTATAGATTAATGGAAATGGATTAATTTAAGCTGTAAGAACAGTTAGCAAGAAGCCTGCCACGGCCATACAGTTTGTAAGCAATATAAGTCTCTGTGTTTACTTGGTCGGGTCTGAGCAGCTGCGGGACTGGCGGGTGAGAGAGATTTGTCCTGACTGTGGGCCAGGCAGGAAAACTCTAGCTACAGTAATCTCCATTGTCAATTCGACTTCATTTAGAATCACTCAGGAAGCATGTGGGTGCTTCTACAGAGGTAACTGTCGTACCCTGGTGTAGGCAGCCCTGGAGTAGGCAGCGGTGTGAGCCTCTGCCCTGAACTGAGTCAAAGGGGGAAGGCAGAAAGCTACCCGATCACCAACACTCATCTCCCTCTGCTTCTTGACTGCAGACACCACATGCTCCTGCCACCTGCCCGCAATGCCCTCAATGATGAGGTACTTTCTCAACCTGGGAGCCCAAAGGAACCCTTCCTTCCTTCCTTCCTTCCTTCCTTCCTTCCTTCCTTCCTTCCTTCCTCCCTCCCTCCCTCCCTCCCTCCCTCCCTCCCTCCCTTCCTCTCTCTCCCTCCGCCTTCCTTCTTTCCTTGCTCCCTTCCTTTCTTCTATGTATCAGTTTCTTCACACAATCAGAGGACCTAAGCACACAATTTTTAGGGTTGTGATGTTTAAACAGGTGAACGTGTGAAAGGCATGTAGAGCACGACGACGACGGGGATTCTGTGTTAGTTTTTATTTTGAAATATTCCTTTGAGGCCAAATTTTAACAGTTAAAATCTGATTTGGGGACCAGGGATGTAGCTTAGCGGTCAAGAACTTGCCTAGCATGTGTAAGGCAAAGAGTTCAATTAATAGCATTGCAGTGTGTGTGTGTGTGTGTGTGTGTGTGTGTGTGTGTGTGTGTGTGTGTGATCTGTAAGCACAGCAGAATTTGGGAAAGATGAATAACAACCTTACACTTCTCACATATTAGAATACACGTGCCTTTTACACTAGAACTTTAAAGACTGAAATGACTGTTAGTTCAACTTAAATTGATAGTTTCAATTTTGAAGAAGTGATTTGGCTTTCAGTTTGTGATATGTTTCACTTCTGACTGTACTGAGTCAGTTCAGCATCGAGCCTGGATTTACCGGTGTTCTCACAGACATTCGGACTCTGCTGCGGTCCTTCATGGTGGGGAGAGGCATGCTGATTTTACCTCTTAAGATTCTCTCCCTAGAAGAGGTGGGGATATAAACGATACCAATCCTCCCTTCCTACGGCCTCAACGACAAACTACAATTTAATTCCACTGAGCTTCACCCTGGGAAACCAGTGAGTTTATTGGGGTTGTTTGCAGAGCACGGCAAGGGGTCACACTAACAGGGGCCCGGGTGACCCTCCAGCAGCCCACAGACAAGTCTTCACCAGCATGGACAGTGGCCTCCCCAAGGCTGCGTAGGGGAAGTCTCCTTCCCTTAGTTTCCCCTACCCTACGTACTCTAGGCCCTCCCTTAGGATAAAATGCACACAAACGGGGTGGCGGAGAGGAGGCTGGAGACTCAAGGGAGGTCCAGAAGCCCTCCTGCCTCCTCCTTCTAGGAGGGAGTGTCATCATGCGCTTTATAAAACAGTCAAGGCTGACCTGAAGATGGAGCTTGCGCCGTAGGTACTGGTCCATCCCGGAAATGATCAGAGGCAGAACTTGCCTCCTTTTGTGTATCTTGCATAATCAAGTCTTCCAACAACAGGCTTTTAGAATTATTTTTGAGACATCGAGCCTTTGCCAGTGGATTTTTGTCTTTTAAAAAAATTCAGAGATTTCTGGGTATTTTCCAATTTTATGTCTGGTTAAAACCAGAAACATTTCTCTTTTAATAGCTCTTGAAACAGAATAGTTCTATTTCCAGATAATTTCCCTGTGTTTCAAAAAGAGTTATTGTTTCACTTTGATATGACAGATGTTCAGACTCAAAGGAGCTGGTGGGTCAGATGTACTGGCAAGTTGATGTTTTTGAGGTTACGTAGAGGTGAATTAATTGTCTAAAAATCAGAGGACCCACTCCAAAAACTTCTGAATCTTATTTCTCCCATTGGTGTACCTGTCATCCGTACTGGGTGAGTGATGCTAATCCCTACAACTCCCAAGTCTTTCCCAGCCTTGTAGGTGACATTTGGATGGGGGACTTAGGTCCCGGTGGTGTCACAGTCCTCCTCCAGCAGTGTGGATGTACCTGTGGCCAGTGACTTACCTTCGGAGTCATGTCATAAATAGCTCAGCTCAGAATCAAATATTAATCAGACCTTAATTCGGACCATCTCCTTATAGTAAAGGAAATGGTCACCAAAAGCTTTAGGCTTATTATGCATATCATTTGTAACCCAAACGAAGACTTCCATTCCTTCACTATGGAAAAGTTGAGAAAAGACTTGGATTTTTGCAAATGTGGGTCGTTAGCACCTCAGGCACAGGACTGTAATTGTCTCAGCCTTGACACTGGGCCTTCTGGGATCCTCATCAGAATGGGGGTAGCGTTGGGAAGAGTGTTTAAGGGATGTTAAATCGGCTGAGAGATACTAGACAAACTTCAGGCCCATGAACTAGCCACAGTGGTAACATAGAAAAGTGCATTCCGCCGGGCGGTGGTGGCGCACGCCTTTAATCCCAGCACTTGGGAGGCAGAGGCAGGCGGATCTTTGTGAGTTCGAGGCCAGCCTGGTCTAGAGAGCGAGATCCAGGAAAGGCGCAAAGCTGCACAGAGAAACCCTGTCTCGAAAAACAAAAACAAAAACAAAAAAAAAAGAAAAGTGCATTCCTCAAACAATATCTAGCATCAGTTTAGAACCGGCTTGGAGAAATGAAGTGTTTTCCTTTTTTCTTGGACTCCCATACTCTTTTTCCCCTTCGCTAATGTGAAAACATGTCCAGACTCCAACTTCTGACAGTGCAGATGACAATGTATCTCCCTTCAGAACAGCTACTTCACTCACTAACTATACTGCTGGCATTACAGACCTAAGGAAAGCTTCCCAGGGAACACCTGAGTCTGGAAACGTCAGGGCAGAATTCTCTGGGAATAAATGCAGATAATAACACAGCAAAAGGCAGAAGGAGTTGATGCTGAAATTCCCGGTTGAACAGAGGCCCTGGGAAGAGATGCCCAAGTCCAGGCTCACAGAATCAAACACAGATCCATTCTGGAGACAGCAACCCTAGAATAAGCGCTCAGATTTTCAACAGATTGAGTCAAGTATGAACTGACAACTCTGTTAATGAAAGGGTCATGAGTGATAGAGACAAAATGGATGAGGACTCATCCTAGTTTGAAATATCAGAATTATCAAATCAGAATAGAGAAAAACCAACATAAAAGGAAAAAATCGAGACAAGTAAAAAGCAGAATTTAAAAATATAGAAAAAATAAAAGCAAATTTTTTTTTTTGCTATTAGACATACCTGGAGGGCAGGGTGAATAGTATATTAGACACAATCAAAGAGAGCATTAGTGAATGTGAAGACAGATCTGAAGAACATGAAGAATTTCTCTGAATAGAACCCAGAGAAACAAGATATAAAGTGAGGAGAGCAGGTCAATACATATGGAAGATAAAGAGAGATGTTGCAACAGCCAATCAGAGTCCAGAAGGGGGGATAGAGAAAATGGAGGAGAAGGAAAATTAAAAGATCATTTTCAAGAACTTTGGAAAGGTGTATGCAGTGACGTGTTAAATACAACAGTCTCTAAACACTACAACGGAAGTAAACCTAAGTCTAGAAGGGCTGAGGAGTGTCAGTTAGTAGAGTGCTTGCCTAGCATGCACAAAGTTCTGGATTCAACACTCGGTGCCACATTAGCCGGGTGTGGTGGTACACACCTGTAACCCCAGCACTTGGGAGGTGGAGGCAATAAGATCTGAAGTTCGAGGTAAATCTTGCTACATAGTGAATTTGAGGCTGAACTACATTAGACTCTAAAGAGGGAGAGAGAGAGGGGGAGAGGGAGAGGGAGAGAGAGAGAGAGGGGAGGAGAATGAGAAAGGGAGAAGAGGAAAGAGTAGAAGGAAGGAGGGAAAGAGTGAGAAAGGGAGGGAAGGGAAGGTATAACACATTGAACACTACAAATGGACAGAAGAGTGTAAAGTGTTATGGAAGAAAATGCATCACTTACCAAGAAAACAATTTCCCTGGAAGCAACTTTCTCAGCAGAAAGTCAGAACCAAGAAGACAGCAGAGCATTACTCTCTCAAAGCCAAGAGAAAATAACAGCCATTCTACAACTGTCCACCCAGCAAAAGCAACTCCACCTGGGAGAGGGAAATAAAAACATTTTTAGGGAAACACAGACAGCAATTCTAAAAGGACAAAGAAAAATGGCCGTGGGGGTAGGGGAAAGGTCTGCAAGTCATGAAAATCAGGTAAATATTAACAACCTTGTCTACAGAAAAGTTCAGATCTAATTTCCAGGTCTACTTTATGAAAATAAAAATGTTTAAAGGGAAAACCAAACAAAATGACAGTAAGATGAAAGTTGGGAGAAGAAATGGTTGTTGCTTAGCAGAGCACTGGGGAACTAATGTTAAAGTATAATCAGTTTGTGTGTAACCTTTGAAGGGGATCCATGAAACCATAGAAATAAAGTTCAATGTAACTTCCAAGTAAGTAGAAGAAATAGCAAAAATGCAAAGTTTTAATAGCCAAGGAGTAAAAAAAAAAAAAATAGTTGTTTTTTGAATGGGATAATATGCCAAAAATAGTACATGCTACAAAGGAAAAGAGAACTGTCAGTCCCAACAGTGAGTGAAAAAGGACTCTCAGATAACAGGCGGAGATGGCCACACTAGGTATTTTTAAAATTCAGTGATATGCTATTCACAGGGGACACATTAGACCAGGAACTGAAGCAAGTACGAGATGCACAAAGCAAACATTAGCCCAGAGAACGCGAGTCTTTACTGTCAGGACAAATAGACTAACACAGAAAAGCATCACATAGATGGGACAGACCACTACCAAATAACCAAATGTTCCATTCATCTAGAAAATAAAGCAATCCTGAAGGCCTTACATCCCATAAAGCAAAACTGATAGAACCCACAGGGAAATCAACCTCACTGCCAGAGTTTAACGTTCAAAGGTCCTCTTTATTTGATGACAGGCAAAGTATCCAGAACATAAAAAGCGTGATTAGCAAGTGCGGTTTATCGGACATGTATAGATTCAGCAATGGGCTATTTACAGAAATTGACTAAAGACTAGTCCTAAGAGAAGTGCTCAAATCTGCAATCGTCCAGTATCATATAAATCAGTGCTCTCCTTATAATGCAAATAATTTGGAACTCAAGACTATATGCCTAGATTTTAAAATATTTTAAGTTCTTTGCAGATGAAAAAAGATTTCACAGCAGAAATGTGAAAATATTTAGGACTAAACAATAACAAATATACCACATGCTGAGGTGCACAGCTTGGAATAGAAACGATT